TAATTTCGAATTAGGCCTAGTAAACAAATAATTGTAATTAAAGTTTAGGTTCCCATGATGTCAGATGACGTATTCAATATGATGCTATATTTTGGAATCTGACTTAATTTAACGATGGCCCTGTCAGTTGTAGTAATGACAATAATTGTGATTTTTTAGCCATGTAGTAAAAATAGTACAAGATGAGAGTCAAGAAGAAGTTCAGCTTCTACTTTATTTTGTAACAGGCAACTCTATTTTTTTACATAGGCCTACAGGAAGATTCACTATTTTAAGTTAATACAAGACAAAACTTCTTAAATGTTTCATATATTATAGTAATAAGTACATAATTCTTTGTAAATTACTTTGTAGGCCTATAAATAGCTTGTTTTGTTTTATAATAATACAGTTTAGTTTAGTTTTGTCTTTATTAACGTCACACTCTTATAATACAATAAGACCAGCCAATACTGGCTTATGAGTGACACATCTTAAAAAATACATGAAAAAAGCTTCAAGGGCTCATAACTAGTTTTTTTTTTTTCTTTTCCTTTTTCACTTTTTTTCCCTTTTTTTTTTGTTTTTGTGTACTACCACGCAACATGAAAGAAAGGAAAAAGTCTACAAATAGAACATATAACAAAAAAAAAAAAACACACAAATCTCAACATTAGTGATTAAACAAAATAGACTGCCGTAATGAAAGAATCTGATTGGCGAATTTTGCAACCATATAACAGTGATTGCCATCACTCATCAAGTATGTAAATTTTTCAATATTACTTAGGTCAGAGAAGGATGGATTAAATTTAGCAAGATCATTAAACAGTGTGTGAATCCACATGGATTCAGAAAAAAATCGACAACATAATCAGGGATGAGGGTTCTATGAACTCTCAAAAATTTACAACAAACTATTATGAGATGAGGACATGAGGACATGAGGACCTGACCAACATCAATGCATTACATCATCGATGACGTCATGACCAGACTGAAGTAACAACAGAGTCAGTGGAAGATGATCGCTGAGTGTGATCGTAACGTCCATGTAAACGATGTTATTTTGATTCAATCATAAATGAAAGTTTAACGTCAAGGAGGATATTGAAGATAAATGGGCCTACATCGTACATTAAAAAGAACTGAGAGATGATATTTCCTTATAAATTTTGAAATAAAGTGGGTCTGAGTCTTTAGGGCGTACAAATTGAAGAATACACTTAAAAGAATGAAAACACTTTAAAGAATCTAATAATAAAAAACAAAAAAAAAAAATTTTTTTTAAGGGTTTTGTGAAATAGACGAATTCATTAACAGTATTAGCATTTTTTACCAATGGGAATCAACCAACAATTGAAAATATGGTTGGTGAAGTACTGATCGAAACTGTCTATACATGGCGAGTTATTCTGTCTCTAGGCAGACTAGAAAAAATGACTTGCATAAATAGCAATTTAAGATGATGTGGTTTGTTTTACTCACTTTTTTCCCTTATGAACCCTTGACTTGTCCAGAGCTGCCTTCTTATTAAAAACATCAAATTCATCATTGTCGAAGATGTTATTACGTTGAGATAGTAGAGTTTCCTCTTTTGGTTTTACGGACCTCGCCATCTTGTGATCAAGTCCATTCAACGATGCTGGTAATTTTTCCTCTAAGATCTTATCAATAACTTGGGATACATCAAAGTTGAACTCTTCCAAGCAAGCCTACAAAGGAAAATAAATAAATATTGTGGAGGAGCAAACTGAGGCTGGCACCAGTTTACTGGGTAGCCTAGACACCAAGTGAACCTTTGGGGAAGGACATTCTGTACGAGATGAATGGATGGATGGATTTATCTGGTGTAAACACTATCAATAACCCACGAAAGTCTGAAAAAGACTAATTTCCAGTGGGGTCCTTCTGGTGGTGATTGGGCAGTACACTAGGAGACAACTACTCTTTTCCAAATAGTGTACATGCACATGGGCCATATAATGCATATGGAACCAATGGCTTGCGTCTCATCCACAAGACGGTGCACTATTGTAACATGCATTTCAGCCCTGCAGCTGAAACACAAAGAGAGCAGTACTGATAGGAATTGAATTGGGGACCAAAGGATCTCCAGTGGCTACCACCAGTTAAGCCAACTTGCTTATTCCATGCATCGACCGCTATATAAATTAATCACATTGCATACAACATTAGATATTTGCCAAGTATTTGGTTTACCATTTCACTAGCCAAAATGGTGTGTGATAGCTAGCAATGAATCTTCAACATTAGGCCTAGGATTGTGGTTAAACAAGGAAAAACCAATCCTGATTTTAATTTTTAAGTGTGCTAAAAAGGGGATATACATTTTTTGGCCAAATTTTTACTCCTATTAAAATACACTTTATTAAAATTAAGGTAAATCAATATGGCAGTTGATAGTAAATTAAATATGCAATGCAAACATAATTTGAATTAAAAAAATATTGTGTTTTACCTGGTAGAGATATATGGAGGGAGTTTACACCCCACCCCACTCCCCAATTATAGCCAAAATATCACTATCCTAGTGTGAAATCAAATTCAAATAAGATTGGACCCTAACAATAGGCAAGGGGAACCTTTATCTCCTAATTACAGTTTCTGCTCGCTTCGCACCACCCCTGCATAAAAATTCTGAATCCGCAGCAGCATACCTCAATAAATCCATCTCCCAGATCAGGTAGAAGGTCTTGGACAGAGGATATCATAGAGCTTATTTCAACATCAGTAGGCACAGCAACCCCTGCCTACAAGAGAAAGACAGATAGCACATTAAATATGAATCATACCATATACAATTTTCTAAAATAATAAATGAATAGTTCACACAAATGTGATGTTGGGAGGGGAACTTGTAAAATTGTCCCCAGCACGCACTACCATGCAGCACTTTGTCCAGTGTGAATCGGTATCATCATAAAGATTAGGGAATGGAATTTGTTTTAGTTGCGAGAAAAAAAGGTACTGGCTATAATTGTTACATCATTCTGAAACCAAATACTATTTTTGATCGGATGTTATTTTGCATGTAAGCATTGGATATAGGACAATAACAACATCCAATCAGAATTATAAATTTTTTTCAGTGTGTTGTAACAATAGTTACTGGGAAAAAAAAAAAGATGTTTGCAGGCTTTAATGCTGGCACCATAGGATTAGAAGGCAAGCAAGCTTTGTACATTTTCTTATAATGTCCTTTTTTCTTTTATTCACTGTGTGCGTTTAAGCCAGTTTTCCACTAGGCAAATTTACTCACGCAAATCGAAAGCGTTGGTTCATGCGCACACGCATTCACATTCCTATCCGAGTTTTTGCTTCAGCAAAATGGGTAGTTCGAACTGTTTCTTCTTTCAGCGCGGCGAAAAAAATGCGCAACCAATCAGACCTCAAGAAGTGAAACGACACTTTCCATTCGCGCGAATAAATTCGCCTACTGGAAAACCGGCATTGGTGACAACTGAGGCGCACTTCTCATCTTGAAAGACGAGCACTCTCTGCGCCCCCGATGGCTAAACGGATCATGTTCCGACTGCCGCCGATAATCAGCAGACAGTGTCGCATCAACTAGCGCTTACAGGCAGCGGAGTTGGATTCGTTGGCAGATGGTCGTACGACTTTGTGAGTGCCTGGCTTAAGATCTGGTACTGGTGTATGAGCATTTATAAATGCGCTTCTTCCTTGTGGTTATAAAGCGCAGTTCTTTTCCCTGGTCATTGGGTCCACATGCTAAGTGTTGCTGCTGTGGTAATCAACGCAGGAGCAGGCAACTCTACTACCCCATTATACCCTTGATCTAGAACCAATGCAGATAAAGTGTCTTGCTCAAGGTCACAAGCGAAATGTACAGAGGGTGATTGAAACCCCGACCTCAAGGTTGGGAAACCAAACCATTCCAGCTGCACGAAACCGCTTCCTCACATCAGGCCTATTAGATATACAAAGTCCCCCCCCCCCCGCAAAAAAGTCTTAACCACTAAGTTACAGCTCCGTTTCCATGATGACACATAATCAAGATGACTTACAAATTCTTGGAGATAAGCTTCACTCTCATATCTTGCATCAACACTTTCTGCACTGACACCAACGTCGTCATCTGCCTTCACTGCAACTGCCATCATTCTTGGATCCTCACCACCAGCTTTTGCGCCTACATTTTCTGTTATATCATTTGTTTTGGATTTCTTGTCTTTCCTTTTTGTAGCACGCACACCATCCAATATAAATCTTACTCGATTTCCATCTCTACCATTCAAGTTAAGGACATTTTAAAATTCGAAAAATTAACATATTGCAGGGGTTTTGTGAATTAAACAGTCTTTCTTTAAAATACAACAATAATGAGAGATTCAAAACGGAAGTTTAATACTATATTTAGTAGTGATATTGGAAATGTCATTATAATCATATTGCAGTTCTACGATCCAGTTTGATTTTTAAGGTAAAAGATACAATAGAAATATAACTATTATAATTCAAATGTGGATACAAGACATTATCTTGGTCGATTTGTTGGAGTAGCTGCAAATCAGCCTCAATTGAGTGTTTCTCGTCAAAGTCAGCCACAAAGAGCTTTTCAGCTAATATTGAGGAAATTGCATCCAAAAAGTCCTCGCTCTTCTTCTGAACAATCCCTTTAGAATCACTGAAAAAAACAAAGAAACATTGAAAATGCAGTGATATAGATGGGAACAAAATCATGAAAAAATAATCTAGCATTAAAAAAACTTAAAGCTAAATATGACATAGCAAAGGATAAACCATTTAAGCTGTGACGATTGTGTCAGAAGGGGTCCCCACATATAAAATAAATAATATTAAAAAATAAACATAAGTATCATACAGCAGTAACTTTACATAATAATATTCATTGTTAATTAAATGCTTTTTAAAACTTTCAAAATTGCCTATATAAATAAGTTATGGTCAATAACAATAAATTGATAGCCTCTCAAAAAATGGTTTTGTCAATAAAGGACACAATTAAAAGTAGAAGTGTAGTGAATACTAAAAATGGAGAACACAGAATCATGTCTATTCCTTACTGCCCCAGTTACTAGCTACTTGTGTCCTTGTGGTCCTATACACTTTCAATTAAAATTACAATTGTAGTTCGTTTCCCTAGGTTTTCACGCTCTTGCTAGCTCTGTCTATGCTCAATGCCCAGTCAGTCCATTCCAAATTTTCCATAGCTATTCAACACCCAACCTATTCAAAATTGCCTTCAATGTTCCCAGCTCTTAGTGTCAAATGCCCAAGTTTCCCAGTTCAATCGATACCTACCTATTCTCCAAAATTTGTTGGATGCAAGTCCTATTAAGAAGACTGTGGCAGAGTTCAATGATCGATGACTCAGCAAATCTCAACTGATTCTTAATAGTGACTTTCAATCTTAAAGATTAACAATATCAACATATGTTGGGTAAAAAAATCAAAATAGAAATAATATACCAATAAGTTATAATAGTGAACAACTTCAACATGAAAAACATGAAATTGGTGCAACACTTTTATTTCCCAGTACATCGGCAAACATAATTGAATGAAAATTCATACAAAATAAATACATCCATACAAATGTAACAGATTATCTCTAGGGACATAAAACCATGAGAAATATGGACAAAATTTGAATTAAGGATCTATGGAGACAAAAATGGACACTACTGTATGTAACGTGTCAATTTGGGTATTTTTAAACTGTCAAATTTTTGCTAGAACATTCTTAACACCACAAAATTGAGGGGTCACTTCCTACTTGTGATGTGCAGGTTAAAGAACACAAAACCGTATTTATACCTGGTAACGCATATGGTAGTCAATGAAACATTTACAAAGTAGGCATGGATTTTTTTATTGAATATAATAAAATCTAAAAATAATGTTGATATGAAGAAGTGATATAAGAAATATTTATACATACTCTCGGGTTTCCCACTGCCTTTCTTTTAGAGCTGTCTTTAATTGAGGCACTACACCTTCATATAAAGCTGCCAATCTATGTTACAAAAGTCATTGAAAGTATATTTTCAGAAAATGAACAAGTATGAGGCATTTTATAAATATGGCAAAGACAAGCCAAACCAGGCAATTCTCACAAAAAAGAATCATTAATACAGGGTTAAGCAAGTAAAATGAAATTTATAAAATGGTAAAAGAATCAATTAAATCCGACATTTCATTAGGAAGTTACAGAAGTTTAAACATACAAAAAAAGAACAGAATTTTGGAAATCAGTCTTGAAAATTTTGGCAATTTCTCAGGCAGAAACCATCACCAAATCATTAAAAAATGTGGGAAAATAACAAAGCAGCATGATGTATAGATATATATATATATAGTTCATTGAGTGCAATAAAATAGATTTCAAATTATTTTACATTCTAACATGTTTTGGCCATTATATAGAAACAAGGATTTGAGTGGAATGACTGGTTTAGCTTGCCTTCGCCACAAATGTAGTTGTTTCATTTAGCATTGAGATCATACAAACCTGTTTACAAAGCCAGCTTCAGAAAAAACCTCAGCAGCAGGTGTGTATATTTCAATGAAAGCAATCAGTGACTGGGCGATGTCGGCAAGGTAGTGCAACATATCCTTTACATCAACAACAGGCATTATCAGCAAACCGTTTCTTTGGGAGATCAACATTTAACATATTTGAGAAAGATAATTAAAAACCAGAAAAATTTATTTGAGTATTTAAGATTCAAACATTTAACAATATTTCTGGGAGCTACTAATCATGTAACTGTAAATCTGTTATACTGTAGAATCAATCATTTTACTTAAAAGAAACAATCATGAATTGTTTTCTAGTGCTTTTTAATTTACATGTGACTTTACTAATAAACATCATGCCAAAAAGAATATTGTTATGTTACTGAAGTACATAATCTGTATCAATGTTTTGTCAGCAATATTGCTTATTTATCATAGGCCACTTAATGTTAGATTTTATTGCCAGCAAAGTATTTCAGAAAATATACTGTAAATGGTAACCACACGACTGGTTAAGGTATTAACTATAAAAGTAAATTTCTGAAATATCACACTAGTATTTTGGTCTCCTCCATGGTAAAAATGTATATAAAAGTCAAATTTTGACATTTTGAATCCTTTGGGCTTATTATGTATTATTTTTCTTGGCCTTATATTATCAGTAGTCATAAACCTCTCTGTTTATATACAAGAGGATGTGTGGCGGAAAACCAATAATATGTACTTTTTTTGTGATTATTATTATCATTATTATTATTTAATATTGTGATTTCAAATCTCACAACATCTCAAAATTTAATGCAATGCTTACTTTCCATGAGCATTTTGGGATACCTTGGCTTCATATTCAGGAACACCACACCTACTGCTGATGCTATCAAATACCTGGAATACAATCATTTAAATGGGAGTGAGTCAGTTAAGTACATAACTACTGGGTTTTGGGTTAGTTAGTACAGTCGTCATACAACACAAGATGATTGTCTCAATCAATAACAAATAGTGCTGTTTGTTGTTGGTGGTGTTTTTGTTAAGTATCATCGATATTCTTAATCGAAAGTCTGCTGTGACAGGCTTCAATGTTAACTATAGCATATTGTACGAATCTTTTCACTTGTTGGCAATGGTATGAATCAATCATGCATATAGATATTTTTTTATAATACTTTTTACGTTTTTACATATGTTAATTTTTGATAATGGTTAAATCTGCAGTGTTCTAATTACTTTGTCTAGTTAAAGTGTTTTTTCACCTTCGCCAAATAAAATTAATGAATCATATTTATTTATGCGCGAGCACTTGACAATGGATAAGAACTCTCACATGTTAAAACACTTTAAGAATTCACGCAAATGCATGCAAACTTGTAGTAAGGACTGTTTCCGTATTCCTGACTCCGCCCCATCAATTCATCATCTCAAAATAAAGGAGGCATTACATATTCAATGGGAGCAGCCCTCACTTAACAAACAACTTTACCATGTTAATTTAACTTTGTCATTCTGATTTTACTTCATTCCGTTTACCATTAATTATACATTGTTTTTATTCATGATCTTGGTGTTTACAACTTGATACGGTTGAATTACTGGTACGTATTGACGTATTACAAACTTTATTTTGTTTAAATAAGATTGCTTAATGGAATCTCTGTACACTGATGACAGTAGGATCTGTCGAAACATGTATGTAGCGTAAGGCCTAGCAATGGCGAGGCCTAATAAGTTTTCAGGCATTGCCTAAAATGATTGTTCTCAAAAGTATCGTCATATTTTTTAATTTTAATATTCGTGGTTTATTGTGTTATCGATCATTTGGCAACATTTATTTATTATAATCATCATTATATTATATTCATTTCTACTCCTGAAAGATTATTGTAGTAATTACATTTATATTTTAGTGCTTAAATTAAAACTATAAATGATTATTTAGTTTAGTACATTGTTTTATAGTGTAGCTGTGGATGTAGCTCTTGTTGATCTCGTGATTATACTGTATCAGATACATGCCAGACTGCAAACGGCCTTGAATATTTTTAAACATGTATTGTGTAAATGGAAATTGACGGTAAACGTAAACAATTCTAAGACAATGATCTTAACATGAGTGGTAGAAAGTACATGCAACAATTATTTTGGCGAACAGATTCATATTAAAATTTGCAAAGTTTAACTTGCTGTTAATAAATTGGCTACCCATGTTAATATCCATGTTTAGTTATGCTGTTAAATATTGCCATTTCTAAACGAAAGGTGTAGAAAAGGCTTTAAATTGCTTGTTTTACTGAATTTACCTTAACTTTTTATTGTAATTTTTATCACAATAAAGATATTTACCCTAATTTTCATAGGCAATAAATATATAATCTAATTAAATTACTTACCTCAAATATAGTTGGAATGACAGCTTTCAAGTCATCTGTGTACTTAGGTTGCTGAGAAAACACATTGTTGATCATTTTGGTGAGAAGCTTTGCATTGCCAGTCCCATACAGGACACAAAGATCCATCAACTTAGGGACATCAAAAAGGAAGTTCTCGTACAGAATATTACCAAATATATCTGGTGTTATGAAATGTTCCTGCAGTGAAGAATATGAATGCATTATAATCGTCAATAACAATGAACAAAAAGCAAATCATGTTTTAATGTTTTGTAATGTTGTAACGAAGAATTTAAATGACTGCCACATAAGTGACTTACTGCTACTACAGGGTCAATGACCTACCTTTGATTCCTTGTGAGTTGCTATTCGAAGGAAGGCCATAAACACAAGTCTGTGCACATGCTTTAGACTGTCTTGATATTGCTCTGGTACATGAGTCAACACATCAAAACACCTGTAAGTTATCAATAGAGACTCACGTTTTAACTCTTCATTCTGATGAGCTCTTCATCTAGTTTTTATACCCAATCCAGACTACACTAAGTTACGATCGATTGCGATGTAGCCAGTGGTGATCCAAAACCGATTACAGTACTCCCAATCACAACCAACGAGCGCATTCAGACCACACCAGACACAAAAAACTTTGTAATGGAATGGGATTTTAAACGAGACTACGCCTCCGTTGGCTAGATATATTTTGACTTGACACCAGCCAATCAGTGTCTGTGGAATTTGTTGCGATCGAATTCCGTGTTAATTGGGAAAGATTGTAGCACCCAATCGCAACAGGTAGCAATTGCAATATTGATGACCTTTCAACTACTATTGGTGAGCTTTTACACACGATTGTCAATTGAGATTGGGTGTCGCAATTGCTACAACTGATCCCAATGCGATGTTAGTTTGAATAGGGTATTGGTGGTGTAGCATGCTGCTTTATATTGTTTATGCCAACCAAGACTTTTCATGACAATAGTAAAATGCATTTCAGTAATCATGTCTTAAAAAATAGTAAAGTAGTACATAAAAAATTTCCGTAGCACCTAATAATTTGCCTCGACTGCAAAATATGGGTTGCTTAAATGTGACCAACTCAAGCAAAAACAGGTCTTGTCTTAAAAAATGACATCTAGAGGTCGAATGCTAATAATTAATGCAAAAATTGTTACAAACATATAACAAATGGCGAAGATATGACTTATATTTTCAGTCCAACATGCATGAAGATGGTCAATACATGGGAATTTCAGCTGATATGAAAATTTTCGTTTTTGATGACAAGCGTATGGTTTTGCTAGAGTCAGTCACAAATTACAGGTTAAGCAGAACATCTATGGAATTTAAAAAAAAACAGAACAGGATGAAGATTTACAGGCCAATTATTTCTTAGTTTTCACAATTATATCAGTAATTTGACGGGTATGAGTTGTCTTGGGACAATGTAAACAAAGATCCTGAAGTTTATTGTTCTGGACATCAGACTTATCTAGGCCTATAGTAAATTTCCGTAGTATTTTATTCTATTTTCGTATGTCCGTAATTAGGCGAAAATTTTCGTAGCAACTACAACACATAGTTATCAACCATCTCAAATTGGACGTGGCTTCATTAAAAGTATTTTTGTTCATTTTAACCATACCTGGTATTGTCAACAAACACCTCCTGAAATCTTTTGCTGAGATCGTCAGAGCGCCAGGCGCCCCTGGAACCCCGTCAAGGCTCCACCTCTAGGCCACGGAAGGTGGGCCCGGTGGACCACGCCCCTCCTCAGCCAACTAGCGTAGTCACGCATTTCAAATCTCTCAAGTTGGTAACTATGACAACAGTTCCAACCACTCGTGTGTGAGCAGATGGCAGAGTATTTGCCAGTTCGAAATTTCAATCTTGCTGTGCTAATTTGCACTGAACATAGGAAATTATCTCAATAATTTGAAATGCAGTGAAACATACCTATCCCAACCTATCTATCATTTGTATTATTAGTAAATATATTTTTATTTTATCATAAAAGATATGGAAGCATGTATATCCTGACGCATCTCTTACCTTGGAGCATGACGTAGGTAGGAGTCTAAGCACAAGTGGAGACTACTGTCAAACACCATCTGAAACACATTATAATATTTTTATACAAATTTGTATATTTTTAATACTTTCTATACTTAATATATTTCCAAATACTTTCAAATATATGGAGAAAGTTGTATTAGTGGTTGATAAACTAATATTTTCAGAAGTCTTAATTATAAGAAGTTTTAATATTAGGCCAACAATACTACGCTATCATTTCAATCATTAAAAAACATACGTTGATAATATTTTAAGAAAGGGGAGGGGGGGAGAAAGCTGTTTAACTCCCCTCTAACTCCACTCCTGACTATGAGAGCTTATACTAACCTGGCTCCAGAATTTGTGGTAAGGTTGACGTAACAACCTTTTTAGATCTTCTTCTATGAATGCTAGCCTGTCTGCCCATTCCTCAAGGGACGCTTGGTCATCAGTGGTTGGTAATGGACTGAATTCAATGAAGTCAACCTTGTCCATCCAAAAAACATCCTGTAAATTTGACAAGTACAAGTAATGAAACTGTTGATGGTTCCAATAGGATTAATTTACATAACAACATTAATGCATCTATGGTTGTTGTATGTACTACCATAATACAAATAAATATAAAAGTTCCCAATCAATTATCAAATTCATGTTAATGTAATCTTAATGTTCAAAAATGAAATAACCTGTATCTGTGACACACGTCTACTAAAATCTAAAGTCAAATCTTTAGAGAAAGTCAACAAATTAAAAGACTTAAAACTATTAAAACAAATACTGCAAGCAATAAAAAAACAAAACAATTAACCCATGATTTATATAGCTTAAAAACCCCTATTTTGAATGACTGCTATTTTGTATAGTTTTTATCACATCACATTAAAATAATTTTATAGCTCAATGAAAATCTGTATGCTAATTTAGATTAGATTTTGGTCTACTAGCTGAGAAAGGAGCATCTAATTTCCAAATTTTTCATTTTTTTTTATATAATTGAGTAAAGTATTATACAGCATGTTGTTTATTACATATTAAATTCACCATGTTTAGTTTGTAAGAATAGCTGTATTAATTTGTGTGTATTTTTAATCATTTACTTGAAACTGGCAAAGTAGAGTAAAAAGTGATAAAATTACATAGTCATTAACAGTGACCTACTGTCAAGGCTACAGGTTAAACTTCCCTAATTCGACTTTGCCTAACTTAAACTTATTTACATGCCAAATGGTTGTGTTTTTAATTAATTAACAATCTATAAGTTGAACTTTACCTACGTCTAATAATTTTCAATGCATACTATCAGATTTTTATTTTTATTTGACAAAAAAAATTTAGTTTATAAAATGCAGTAAAATTAATGCATTAAGATTCATCATAAATACACATGGTTAAAATTAACTATGCTATGTGGAATGCCAGACACTCACCTAAGTGGGAGAATTGCCTATACTTGTAATTTATTTCTTCTTTATAAAAAGCCATGACCTGGGTTTTATGTCATATTCTTTTTATTGTTTTTAATAAAGAATGATTTAATATACAAATAAAAATAAATAAAAATGAACAGAAGGCATAACATGCAATAAATAGAAGAGTTAAAGGCAAAAAAGATGATATTCAAGAAAAATTAAAGCAATAAAAATAGATAAAATTATTAATAAAAATCGAAAACAAATTAAAGAACCCTCTGAAAGAGTTTTATTACTAAATCATAATTACTGTACATAATTATTATCATAATCATTATTATTTTTATTTGGCGAAACAAATTCATCTGGTTGTTTATACTGAGTAATAGGTTGTAAAGGGATTTCCAATTTAACCAATAATGGCGAAGACGTACTTACAGAACGTTTCAAGACCTGTCAGGTCTCATTCTAAACGGTTATTTCATTACTTACGTCATAGAGGAATGTGCGATGACTTTGCGCTGCTTTGGAATAGCGCCACCAATATTAGGTCCTATTAGACGTGCCCCTTCCTCCTTATTAAAAATAACTTTACAACCTACTGTTATTATTATTAATGATAATCAATATTATGTGTAAAAATATTGCAAATCATCTCAACGAGATAGAAATTACCCTCCCCGTAATTAGTGATTTCTTATTGTTGGGGTTATAATTGCAACACTAATATAGTTTTCTTACCAATGCTGGCTTCTGTATACCAGTAGTTTCATCTACAATTTTGCTTTGGTCCAATGCAACAGTTTCATTTGCAACAGGCATCTTTATAAGTGCTTTATTATAAAAAATATAGAAAACTATGAATTTGATTTATCAGAATTGCGAAATCATAGTTTAGTTTGTTACGAAAATGGCATGCAACTTGCATTAAAACCTGCCAACCTATTAGAAAATTTCTGATCTCTAGACCTACCCCAACTTTTCAAGGGACAGATGCAAAATAGTAGCATTCAACTGTGTAAAGCATTTCTTATTATCACTGTCATGATCAGCCCACCCAAAAAATCTCTCAATTCCAAAATTAAACCAAATGTTAAAAGAGTTGTGCGGAAGATACCTCAAAAACCAGGCCCTAGTTCTAATTTGTGCAGAAAATTGCTAGGAAAATAGATATAGCCTACAATCGTAACTACTGAATAAGTGGAATAAGGCCAAATAAAAAAAAACTTATTGTGCTGTTGGCCACGCCTGTCCGACCCAAATTTTACGAAATTCAATCTCGGCATTTTATTTTATTAATTTTTTTTTTTCTACAACAAACGATATCTTTTTTTTGTGAGCTAATAAGGCTGTAATAGCTTTGGACTAGGCTAGAAGGCCAAGGCCAAGAATATTTTGCTGAATGGTAACCGATGCCAATCAAAAATTGTTGTATTATTTGTGTTTTAAGTTGTAAACGCATTTTTTGTTTTAAAAAAAAAAGTTTTCCTACTGACCTACACATTTTTTGTATTTTCCCATGAATAACGTGGCCAACACAATTTTTTTTTTTTTTTTTTTTTTTTGGCCTAGCTTGACATACTGCATGCCTAGTACTACTACTAGGCCTCCTATTCATACATTGGTTACAGAAATCTTTGCAGAATACAACCCTTGTTTCTCTGAAATGCGCAGACAGATTTGCGAAGGCCTCTAGGCTAGGCCCTAGGCCTACTAGAAGGCCTCTAGGGTGGTACCATAACTAGACTAGGCCATATACCTAGGCCCTATACCTAGGCCTAAGCTAGGTTAGTAGTCTAGGCTAGGCCCTAGGGTCTAAGCCTATCCTAGCTAGGCCCCTCTCTATCTAGTCCGGGTCTAGGCCTATAGTCCTACCCTACCCGTAGGCGTAGGCTAGTTTCCTATTTACTCAATGTATTGCAATAAAACAAACATATAGGCCTACATAGGCCTATATAAATACGCTTACAGATTTAGTATAAGAATTAGACTATACGGTACGTATTAGACCGGCCAAGATATTTAATTTGTGAGAACAGCTACCTCCTCTACTACTAGGCCTACAGTGCGCATCGTCAGGGTTTTTTCATATTTATTTTTTATTTATTTATTTTTTTTTTTCTGGCTATCTTTCATATGGTGCCACCTAACGGTTTGAAATGTAGCAAAGATGTAAACACAAGATGGCGTTCTCCGAGATTTTACCATAGAGCTATTAAGCAACATAGAGCTATTAAACAACTAGAGTGCTGACAAGATGGCGCAGCAATGCAGAGTTATGTATGTGTACCATCCAAGATGGCCGTCGTAGTAAAGCGCCACCTTCAGGCTTAGTATACATATTATTACATATAAATAAGCCCTCTGACTAAATATTATTTCATTAATGATAATTAGTATTGATAATGACAAATTATTAAACTTTGTTAGCCAAAAAGAGGCCAAGTAGAGCATCTTATTCAAATATTAAAAAGAATTAAAATCGTGTACATTACACCCATACACCGCAACGCTCGAGTTTCAAAATACGGGTGTAAATTGAGGGCGCCATTGAAAATGATAGTGCTAAGGCATAATTTGATTGGCTGAATCTATGGCAGCCATCTTGGATGGTATACACACACACAGTTCTGCGTATTTCGAACATCGAATGCAATGCTGTTAGCGCTCTAGTATTCTTATTATACCTCTATGGATTTTACACAACCAGGAAACACTGAGCGAAATTTCACTGTTCCCTGGCCTAACAAATCAGGGGTTGCGCCAGCGAAGGGGATTGGGGGCATCGGGGAGAGCTTCCCCCGGGGAGAGCTCCCCCGGTTGGGGAGAAAAAGCACAATTCGTCGGGGAGAAAAAAAATTATATGTATTTTTTACATAGGACTCTAAAATCGATTAAATACTCCTTTGAACCCCTTAAGGCTAAATTGTCGAAATTTTCGGGGGCTTTGAATCCCAGGACGTACCACTTTCGGAACATTTTAATCGAAGCTCGACCACATCAACTTTGCTTTCGTCAGGGAAATCTGACACCTAATACCAAAGAACTTATATAGCTATTATTATCTTTGCCTCAGTAGCAAGCAACATAGAAAATTTATGGGCCAATGGGCCCTTTCAGGTTTGGCCTAATACGGGAAACTGCCTGTGCATGCACCATATAAATCCTAAAGGTCCCATAAAGTTGGCCCAAATGGATCTGTGGGCCCTTTAAAGGATATAGTGGTCTCTTAAGGTTTGCATCATGGCCTATTTGGGACCATATAGGTTTTCGATTTAATATGGACCCATTGTGGGCTATATTTGTGTTAAAATGTAAGGGACCCAAAATTTGCCCAAACGGAGAAGAGCTGCCTGTGCACCCTTAATTAATTCATGGATCGTTAAAGTATATAGGCCTAAGGGCCCCTTTGGTTTGCATTATGGTTTCATTTGGGACCCATATAGGTTTTGACCAAAATAAATTATGCACCTGTAGGCCTATGATGGGCTATATCTGGGGTTGAAATATTATAAGAGCCAATAAAATTGGCCCATACAGAAAAGAGATCCTGTGATCCTATATTCATACTGGTGAAACCCAGGTCCAGTTGGACCATTTTAATTAGAACCAGTTGGGTGTTGTTTTTTTTTTGTGACAATTCAACTGGTCCCTGTTCCAACCGGTCCTTGTCCCAGTTCTAAATTAAATGGTCTTCAATTGGTCCCAGCTCCTTGTTGTAAAATAACAATTGCTTTAATCGACTTCTGTACACTTATATACACTGAGTTTAAGATTATACAAACCATAATTTCTTTAATTAAAAAACATCAACTATACTTCTTCGCATATCATTGTCTTACAAATATCAGTCTTTACTGTTACGCATACATCAAATTCAAGCTTATTCTAGAATATCCTTCACTTTAACTGCAGTCCTGTTTAAATCAGCATTTTTGTCTGTAATATAATTCCTATTATATTAAGTACGGTTGTACCACTAGAGTTTTTATATAAAACCGTATTCAAGAATCGTTCGCGTTACAAGCGTGCATTATAATCCAAAATTCCTCACCAGAAATTTACACCACTGGAAGGGGTATATAGGAATTGTCATGCCTATCCTATACGGTATTTTGCACTGGGTAAGTGCAATTCAAAAAAACCACAAATTAATACCGTAAATATGGCCTACCATCACAATTTTTATAATTAAGGTTATCTGATAGAGGTAGTTTTAGTTATAACCCGAAATGGGTCAGACTCGGTGCATTGCTCCGAAGGTTCTTTGGTCCGAAGAGTCGTTGGTCGGAAAGGCCTTTGGTCCGAAGGTCCGTTGGTCCGAAATGAATATATTTGAAATATGGGCAAAAAATATATAAAACAAGAAAACACATGATAGACCTATATTAGCTAACAGTAACAATAAAAAAAAATTGATTGTTGCAAGATGCTCAACTCTGCAACATCCTATGAGCAAACAATTCATTTGTCGCGAGGTAGCTAGGCCTATAATAACATGTGAAGAGACAGTTTCACGCAGGTTCAACGTCAACTGGTCCATGTTTCAGCGGCTTAGTTCGTTTGTTTTGTGATGTAAATGAGTTAGGCATGTTTGTGGAAACTTTATTTGTAAAATTCCTTTTTTTAAAACGTAATTATAAGACTTTTTTACATGTAGGGTCTAACTTAAGAGACGTGTGTGTGTGTGTGTGTGTTGAAGGGAGTTAGCCGTTAACACTGTTGTATAAATATAATATAAATCATCAAAGGTACATATACAGTGTTTAAATAAGGACATGATGGAATATATATATATATTTCAATAAGTATTATAACAATTACTGTATTCTTGGAAACCAGTTCATTAAAATTAGGAACATTCGGACCAACGGGCCTACGGACCAAAGACATTTCGGACTCTTGGGCTGTCGGACCAAAGACCCTTCGGACCAAAGGTACGCACCCATCCGGAATCTATTGGGACAGTTATAGGTTTTAAGAAGTTTTTAAATTCATTTGTTGAAGTAACTTGGTTAGGGAGACCATTTCGTGCTTAATAAAGAACGATGGTATGTGAGGGGGTCGATGAATGGTGTAATATTTCAAAATGCCGGTTATGTGGGCGTCTCGGCCTATTCTTTGGGATTTACATACATTTCTAGGTTTATGTCAGTCTTATTGTTAATCATCTTGTGGAAAATTATCAGTCTTCCGTCTTCCGGTTCTGCCATCTGGTTTCTACTGAGTTCGAGTCAAGTTTGAGCAGCATCTCGGTCACGGACGATAAACCATGCTCCCCGACACAGGACGTTATGAAGAATTTCTTTATTTTTCTTTGTCTCTGGGTTCCAGTCTGATACAGTCTGAGTGAGATTGGACAAGTGTAGTATAAGGCCTACAGTGGTGAAAGTTCCTGGATGAATTAGTGTAACACACTTGTGGCTTTTGCTGCGGGATAACGAGTTTGTTTATCCCATTTTAGGTTATTTTGAAGAAGAACATCAGTAACTGCTTCAACTTCATCTGCCATAGCATAATTATCAACTTTGGGTTGCCATTTTCTTGATATCCTTATTACTTTGCACTTTGATGCATTAAAGTGAAGTCCCCATTTGCTTGACCACGCCATAACAATCACTGGTGGGGTTCGCAAAACTGACATCCATGCCTTCAAATGTGTTTTTCCACAGCATTGTTGTTTTCCACTATGTTGACATTTTGTATATAAATACGACTTCTCCCTGACCCACTGATCATATTTCAAAAGCAAGGTATGCTGTACCTATTTACTACAGTGACGGCAAGATTCGGAAAACTGGTTAGTTATGATTTCAGTGAACTGGATTCGGCAAAACTGGATTTTCGGAAAGTGGCCATGGACTTGGCAAACAGGGTTTCGGCAAACTAGGTTTCGACGAACTGGTTGGATACCGTTCACCGTTTACCGTACACCACTCTAAATGAGTGGTGCAAGAGGCTGGTAGGCCAGTAGTGGCCCTCTGACAGCCCCTCTTGTCTTCTCAAACTGTCTTTTAAAGTCTGCCACTGTACTAACTTCAACCGTACTGGCAGGGAGAGCGTTTCATATATTTATAATCCGTTGAGTAAAAAAAATACTTCCGACAATATAATCGAACATATTTCTTTTTCATTTTGTGTTTATGACCCCTATTGGCGCTACATTCTGATTTACTGAAAAGTAATTCACTCTCAATGGTTACTTTATTTGTTAAAATTTTATATGTTTCAATCATATCCTTTACAAGTCGCCTATCTTCCAAAGATGTCAATTTAAAAGCACGTAATCTTTCCTCATAAGTCTTGCCCCGCAAACTCGGTGGTAATTTGGTTGCACGTCTCTGAACTTTTTCTAATAAAATAATATCCTTTTTTAAATATGGAGACCATGCTTGAATTGCAAATTCAAGGTGGGGTCACACTAAACCAATATAGAGTGATCTTATCATAGAAACAGACTTATATTTCATAGATCTTTTGGTAATGCCAAGGATTCTATTGGCAGTTTTAACAGCAACAACACACTGATTACTAACTTTAAGTGAGTTGTCTATGATTAAATCCAGATCCTTCTGGTTCGCAACCTCTTCCAAGACAGAACCCATCCAGTTCGTAAGAATACTTTAAATTATTATAACCGAAATGCATGACTTTACATTTGCTAACATTGAAAGACATTAACCAATCACGACACCAATTAGACAAAGTTAACCTATTAATGTCACTCTACATAGTTTCAGAATCATCCTTTAACGCCACTTGTCTAAATAATTTAATATCGTCAGCAAATTTTAGTAAAGATGAGTCAATAGGAATATCAATATCATCAATAAAAATGAAAACAAGAATAGGACCGAGCACTGAACCATGTGAGACACCACTAACAACAGAGGACCATTCCGATTTTCTGCCATTAACAACCACCCTTTGTGATCGATCATAAAGCCAATTCTTAATCCAACCTAAATGGCCATCTATACCATGTGCTAAGATTTTATTCATTAAACGAACATGAGGTACTCTGTCGAACGCTTTTTGGAAATCAAAATAAACTACATTAACGGGCAA